AAACTAATATTTTCAAATAGAAAAAAATCTAAAATTAATATCCTTATTTATTCATTTTCTATTCTCAGTATTGCACTTATTACATTTAAGTAAATTTTAAACCGGCCACTTGTTGTGTAGCCGTCTTAGCTCAGCCGGTAGAGCGCGTGGCTTTTAACCACGTGGTCGTGGGTTCGATTCCCACAGACGGCGTTTGCTTTCTCTTTTCATTTTTCCCAACTGGTGAATGGGTTTTTCCGGGCCCATTTGTCTTCGACTCACATCATTCTCACTGCAAGATTGGGCTATCCTTTCATTTTTTTTTTAGTGTTCAATTGGGTTGGGAATTCACATTTATACTAATCTATATCATCAACTCTAAAATTGAATTTATTGATAAACAGTTACATATCATATTAATAGTGAGAGGTGGTCTTAAGTTTACCCAAAAAAAATTAGTCTTAAAATGCATAAAAACTAATTCAAAAATATCTTGACAGTAAATTAAAAAAGAAAAAAAAGACTAATCTATATCATCATCATTTAATATATCAATCAACCCATGGAACCAAATTCTTTAACGCAAAAATCAAAACCACAACCTCAAGCAACCTTTACTTGCCCAAATATAGTGTATAAGACATGGGATGCTCAAGTCCAAGTTGATAATGTCCAATCCATTAGATTCCCAATTTCAACCAAAAGCCAATCCTTCTGGTACATATTCTTTTTCCAATTGTTTCTTAGAATAACTTCAACTTCATCACTTCTTTCTGACGGATCAACCGACCAAGACCTTGTCTTACCATCGGGAAAAAAATGATCTGAATTATCGTCACAGAAATTATTTTGAGATCACTACTGGTTACAAACAAATCAAAAACCGACCCCACCACACCTTTCTTCGTTTTCATTCATCTCTATTTTTTTCATGTTTTGACAATTGATAAGGTAAGATAAGGTGACACATATTCCTTCCTTACACCCTTTTTTTTTCCTTTTCCCATTTTTTTTTTCTTCCAAATGGGTATATATGTTTCTATAGCATAGCCACCGACCTACTCATAACCACCCCAAAAAATAAAAATAAAAAAAATCAATGGCAATATCTCCATTATGGTCTTATTGAAAATATTATTTTTTAATATATAGTCTTTTATTTTATTATCTAAACTGTAAAATAAAAAATATTAAATGAAAAATATAACTTTTAATATTAAAAATTTATCATTTATTCAAAAATTTAAATTGTATAATTTGAACTACATTAGATTATACAACTCTTTTTTGATTAGTCATATCTTTCAAAAAAAATTAGAAATTCTTTTCATTCTTATTTGCCTTTTGACGTCCATAGAATGAAAGCTGACTTCTTTTTTTATTTTGGCCAAGTGCCAAGAATGAAAGCTGACTTTAGTAAGACTAAAAACAAGGGATTCCAATTCAAAAGACAATATGCCTTTTTATCTAAAGAAACAGAACCATTGCTTCACAAGAAATGGGTTCCTTACAGCCTACTAGTATAGTGGGCTAGCTAAAGAAAAATCTTCCGTTCATTTGGGTTAAAGCAGCCCTCTTTATTCGGCACTCCAAAGTTCAAAGTTACAAAGGGATACCAAATGTATCAAGAAGTATGAAAAGATAACTCAACTTCGGTGTCACTGCCACTATAAACAATAAAGGAAAGATAAAAGTAGACAGCCTCACCATGGTTGCTCAGTGCCAACCTAGCACATCGCATGCCATTTCCGTACATCCACCGTCACCGACATATACCCACCATGGTCCTTCCCATGAAATAACTTTAATAACCTTTCCACATCCACCGTATTCCAGTTTCATGTTGACCATCAAATGAATCACATTTTAACTCATTTTAAGTAAAAATCTGAGACGCTAAGTTAATTAAACCCAAAACCTCTTGCTATCCTAAATGTAAGTTTTCCTCCAAAATTCCAATATTCAAAAAACAAATAAATTTCATCCCTCTTTTTTTACGAGGCAGCCAAGCTTGTTCCTCAAACACGCCTATCCATCTCCACATCATGTCTTCATTGTGCTTTGGTTACAAGATCAAAT